TTTTGTATTTTTAGTAGAGACAGGTTTTCTCCATGTTGGTCAGGTTTGTCTCAAACTCCCAACCTCAGGTAATCCGCCTGCCTCAGCTTCCCAAAGTGCTGGAATTACAGGCGTGAGCCACTGCGCCTGGCCCTAATTTGGCAACTTTAATTCTTAGGAAGATCAAAGTTCCCTCCAAACCTAATTTGATGTTTTATTACTAACAGCAAAGACCAGTATGGCACAATATTACTCCAGAGAAGTTAAAGGAAGATCCTTAGGGCAGCTTCACCCACATTCATTTTATGAATGGATACCTCCCCTACCTCAAAATGCTTTAGGGAGGTACTGCTGCCATTACATGGTTCCTTATTAAATTTGGAAAGTGCTTGAAAGTTTGGGCATCAGAAAGACATTCCAACATGTGTCTAAACTGCAACTTCAGGTTAATATGACTACAGCAGTTACATTGTGAGAAGTGCTGAAGTTACGTGATGTCTTTCCCGGCACAAAGGTTGCCTTGGTTCCTCACCAGATGGTGTAGCCACCATCTGAATCACCCATGAAATTCCCCTTTCACTGAGTTACGAGGATGTTGGCTCCCTGCATGACTGCAAGCTAAGCAGGATTGGGAGGGCATCCAGGAGGTGGAGGAGGAATGTTGCCAGCAGTAGCCCCAGCTCCAAATCTGGCACCTACATCATACCCTCCTTCCACCAGCACTGTGAAGTCAGGTGGATAGATGGGACCAAGTGGAAAATAAGCCATGGGGATTGTGGAACCTAAAGACCCAACAGCCACAGACTGGGCCATGGGAAGATACAGAGAGGCTCCAGAAAATGCGGCCGATGTGGTGGGGACTGTGGCAGCCCCTGGGTACACAAAGCTTGGACGACAGAGCTCTGAGTAGGCAGGTGAAGCATCAGTATAGGGTGGAGCCTGAAAAAGATGCAAGGTCTGAGGGTATACTGGACTCCCAGGAGGCTGCACAGGATAGGTTGGCTGTGTCAGATATTGACCTTTGCTGTTCGTCGTGACTGCAGGTCCGGTTCGTCTCGGCATTGGGGACGGTTATCTTTTCCGTCCTCTTCCTGTTTGGAGCCACTTCGTGTCACGTGACAGTCCATCCATCTAGCGTCACCCAACGCCTAAGTGGCGCTGCCACCGCAGTTTTTGTATTTTTAGTAGAGACGGGGTTTCACCATGTTGCTCAGGCTGATCTCAAACACCTGGCCTATCTGCCCGTCTCTACCTCCCAAAGTGCTGGGATTACATGCATGAGCCAGTGCACCTAGCCTGTTTCCTCATCTCTTAAATGAGGGAGTCCTTTCTAGCAGTATAAGAACTGTGAATTACGCCTTCCCTTTTACTTTTCCAATAGGAGGCTCACGGTACTCCAAACCTTGTGTGTAAATTTACTAAATGAAGGGTATGATCTTCCACTAAAATCCAAGATCAACAGCCCAAGTCTAACTAATAATTATTTGAATCTAAAGTTATCCTGCTGGCTTATGAGGACAATTTCTAGGGCGCTTAATCATTATTGGAATTGGGGGTGGGGTTGTCTCCTTAGGCAAAAAGCTGCCTTGAAGAAACATCTTCATTTCCATCAAGAACTCCGTAAGGAAGCCAGTGGTCTGCAGTGGACACATAACATTTCCAGACCATGGGTTTACTCTTATTTCCAGTTCCTACAAATACCCAGGCCTTAAGGCTAGAAGAAAACTAAAAAGTAAGTTGGGAGGTGGTGATAGAAAAGGAGAAATTTCCCTTTATAATAAAGTTCCAGGGGCCAGGCATGGTGGCTCATCCATGTAATCCCAGCACTTTGAGAGGCTGAGGCGGGAGGCTTGCTTGAGGCCAGGAGTTCGAGACCATCCTAGGCAACATAGTGGAAACCCCATCTTTATAAAAAATGTTTAAATTAGCCAGGCATGGTGGGGTGTGCCTATAATCCCAGATGCTCAGGAGGCTAAAGCAGGAGGATCGCTTGAGCCTAGGAGTTCCAGGCTGCACCGAGCTATGATGGCGCCACCGTACTGCAGCCTGGGTGACAGAGTGGGACCCTGTCTCTTAAGAAAAAAAAAAAAGTTCCGTTCTGAGCCCAGTTAGTTCCATTTCATCTGGTTAACCTCAACCCACACCTAAGATATTCTCTACTCTGGAACCTCCATTTCCATCACCCCTCCACAACTCACACACTTTTTTCAAACCAATTGAACTCTTCATTCACCTAAATCCTTTATGTTCTCCAGAACCACATAAATCCAGAAGCCTTGGTGCCTAAAACTGCCCATAATTTCAGCCTGAAACACTAACGTGGTCTTAGGATAGTCAAAGTATTTCATTTCAGTCAATGTATCTGAAAGAGTTGTAGATAAATGAAAATTTTGTAATGCAAATAATTTTGAGTTAGCTCAGAGAAACTAATTTATATATTCACATATATATATTAAGAATTTTATTATACCTCTCTATAAAGCAAAACCACAATCATTTCACCCTAAGAATCTAAAACTTAATGTCTATTTAGAACAAGGTATATTTGCAATCACTTGATAAATGTCCATTTCAGCAAAATGAGCTGTTTTGTGAGGCCATTCTCACATCCTCAAAATATAGATTTTAGAGCTGCACTGCTGAGTAACACAGCACCAACCGCATGTAGCTATTTAAACTTGTTAAAACATTCTTCAATCACAACACCCCCATTTCAAGTGCTCAGGTCATGTGTGGTTACCAGCTACTGTACTGGAAAGCACAGATGTAGAATATTTCCATGACAGGAAGTTCTATTGGACAGCATTATTCTAGAGCTCTGAACATTAATAAATCTTGAGTTTTACCCTGTGCCCTGAAGAACTAACCACTCACAAAATTTCCCCAGTTGAAAAATTATATTGACTCTACCAGGATGTCTTTTTTTTTTTTTTTTTTTTTTTAAGACAGGGTCTCGCTCTGTCACCCAAGCTAGAGTGCAGTGGCACAATCGCAGCTCACTGCAGCCTTGACCTCCTGGGCTCAAACGATCCTCCCACCTCAGCCTCCCACGTAGCTGGGACTACAGGCACGCATCACCGCACTTGCCTAATTTGTGTATTTTTAGTACAGACAGGGTTTCGTCATGTTGCTCAGGCTGGTCTCAAACTCCTGGTCTCGAGTGATCTGCCTGCCTCAGCCTTCCAAAGTGCTGGGGTTACAGGCACGAGTCGCTGTGCCTGGCCCAGGATGAGACCTGATTAGATATTTAACATTTCTCTTTTAATATTTAATAAAATATCCCTTTAACAAAATGGATGAAGAAAGGTATTTTTAACATACAAGTTACATAAAAGGATGTTACTTAAATCCACAGCATATGAACCTGAATTTTTTCACAAATTTCCTTTGGCCCTACTCTGTAGTTCAGTGTCCACAGATGAAAAGCTTAATATTTGCAAGTAATCCCCTCCAATTCCTCATTAATGTTTGCAAGGTATTTGCTTTCTACAGAAATTACACCTTTACAACACAGAAATCCAACCTATTTGTATTCTGTATTGCTGTTACTGGACTTGCTGAGATTTGATCCTTATTTTAACTCCTTGTTTTATGTAAAAATTAAATAGAAATAAAACAGTTAAACTAGATAATATCAGTCATACTGAACTTAAATATGTCATCTAAACGTTTTCTCAAGCTTGTGGACCCTATCTGAACATTCATTCAATCAATTCATTCAATACTACTTAATCAGATAAGAAAGGAGCATCTCAAATAATTCAACCCACAACAGAACAAATACTTAAGGAAAACATCCTTGTGGGGGGAAATTACCATTGCTGACTTTATTTTCTCCCTTCTTTTACAGATTAGGATGTTGCAGTCAAGCACCAGTAAGAGTGGCTTCACTAAACGTTATCCAAGGTCCCTTCAGAAATCCGATAATCTGTTAAAATTTTTGTTGTGAAATGCCTATTTTATCAGCACTGCTAATCAGATAAGCACAAATTTAAGTTAACCATAGCAGAGTGCAACACATTTAGAATCCAAAAAACTAAAAACAAAAAAATTACTTCCCCAGTAGCTAAGTCCCACCACCTAAATCCTGAGAGCCTTCAGACATTTAGAGACGCAAACAAAATTAAGATACGAAACTATAGATTCACATAGTTCAAATACCCAATCAGATCTGTTATTTAGTCTTGACAGAAATATGCAGCTCATGAAGATTTTCTTAAAATGGGCCTAGTTCCTAATCACTGTTTAATGAATATAATGATAAATATCAGTTGACAATCTAAAAGCTCTAACTTACACCATACAAATAATTTTTCAGTTAGGGTCAAACATAAGAATTAGAAGATCAAGCCAATCAATTTATTTCTCAAAAGGTTCGACCTGAGTAGGTATGTAAGCTGTAATAGTTTATAAAATGCATTCAAAGTGGGTTTTATTTGGTCTTCTCAACTAGTTAGATGACACTCTATTTGAGATAACATGAAACTGGACTGTATGTATGCACACATGCAGTAAATTCTGTGACTCAGCATTAAAAGGAAAAGTTAAGCACTCTAATAGGAACAAACTAATCTGATATTTTAATTTTACACAAAGTTTAAATATTTAAGATATAAATAAATATGGCTGGGCCAGGCACGGTGTCTCACGCCTGTAATCCCAGCACTTTGGGAGGCCGAGGCGGGCAGATCACAGGGTTAAGCGATCGAGACCATCCTGGCCAACATGGTGAACCCCATCTCTACTAAAAATACAAAAATTAGCTGGGCGTAGTGGCACGCGCCTGTAGTTCCAGCTACTTGGGAGGCTGAGGCAGAAGAATCACTTGAACCCGGGAGGCAGAGGTTGCAGTGAGCCAAGATCACACCACTGTACTCCAGCCTGGGTGACAGAGAGAGACCCCATCTCAAAAAAAAAAAAGATATAAAGAAATAAAAGGAAAACATAAAATATACCAAACCTTACCATTTTGTACATTGTTAAAGGAAGAATTGAAATTATCGATAAAAATCAATTAAGAATTTTTGGCATGCCCATTTATTCAACATGATTAGGTAACTGCATCATATATATGCACCATACAGGAATATCAAGTTTTCAAAAAAAACAGAACACTGAATATTAAAAAGATATTGTGGCCTTAATTAAATCCTTGATTCAGAAGGCACTTCAGGAACTTTCAGTGCTTCAAAGTCATTAACATCATCACTGTACAGTAATGAAGAAAAAATTTGTACCATGAGCAATTTCCAGTATTTATGCAAGAAAACCTTATTTTAGGCATTTTCTTTTTTATTTCTATACAATTAAAATAAAATAAGCATTAGTACGATTTTTACAAATATTGTTTATTTTAATGAAGCTGGTACAGACAATGTCCATTTAAAACCCATATCCCAGGCCAAAAAGTACAAATAAAATCAAAAAGAGCAGTGTTCTGTTGTATTCATTTCTGCATGTATAGCTTTATTAATTGCTAATGAAAATTAGAACTTTTCTGGGATCTTCTGACAAGATTTTTAAAAAATCTTAAAATGCCTTTTCTTCAGTGAAGCCATCTTTGGAGTTAGTCATTACTCTCACCTTATCTGTCATCTTGACTTCAACCTGATATTCCTCTTCTTTTGGTCCAGACCCTCAAATTTTACAAGTAGCTTCAAGTTAAGGAAAGGTCATTTTTCCACAGTTCAGTTCTCTGAAAAACTTCCATCTCCCACTGAAAGTCACAGTCCAGGAGTGAAGCAATCACATGCTAGAACATCAGGGCCAATTGGAAAGTCATTATGAACACTTGCATTGGTCGATCTTATTTATCACCACAAGCCTGAAAATGCAATGTCCTGAAAAAGGTGGCCTCTCTGTGCACACGTAATTTTTAAAAAGGAGAGGGTAATATGAAGGGGACTGAGGCTTGATCACCAAAAATCAGCACAATGAAAACAAACAATAATGAATAATGAGCACTAGAATTCAAATTACCAGATGTTTCAAAGAGATGGGTGCCAGTTTTCAATTCCGTTTTGAACACCACATTACAAAAGAACTATTTTTAAAAATAAAAAAGGATTGAGGGAAAAGAAAAAAATAAAAAGAATATCTAAACTGTTGAATGACCCCCCGTTTGTTCCTGATAAACTTCAATCACATCTTCTTCCTCCATTCCCAGCTGTAAGAGGAAAGAAAAATGTTAGTAGAATATAAAAGCAGTTTTTAAATTGACTACAATTATGTGGCCACTAATTTAAAAGTGCAAAGAGATCCAAGTGTGACCCATACTTACACTGTTCTAATATTAAGAATCCTGTTTTCTTTAATCTAAAGAACATAGAGGTGTCTTTCCTTCTGTCTGTTGAGTTATTCATCTTACTTTCCTGAGTCAATTTCACTTCCCAGTTTATTCGCTATATAAAACTGAAGCGTTTTTGACAGCTATGTTAAAGAACTTTTAAATCTAATGAAACATGTATTTAATAGTTTAAATGATAGTTTAATAATAGGATATATTCTAATTTGTTTGGTTTTTGTTTTTGTTTGTTTTTGTTTTGAGACAGGGTCTCATTATATTGCCCAGGCTGGAGGACAGTGGCACAATCTTAGTTCACTGCAACCTCAGCCTCCCGGGCTCAACCTCAGCTCACTGCAACCTCAGCATCCTGGGCTCAACCAATCCTCCCACCTCAGCCTCCTGAGTAGCTGGCACTACAAGTGTGTGCCACCATACCCGGCTACTTTTTCTATTTTTAGTAGAGATGGGGTTTCGCCATGTTGCCCAGGCTGGTCTCAACTCCTGACCTGCAGTGATCCAGCCCGCCTCAGCCTCCCAAAGTGCTAGGACTGCAGGCGTGGGCCACTGTGTCTGACCAAAAAGTTTTTAATTTTATAGGTAACATTTTTGTGCAGAATTTTAAATATGAAAATTAAGTATGTTAAGAAATCTAAACATAACACATGCGAATTTAGGATTTTAAAGTGATCAGAATGGCTCTAGTAGTGTTAAGCTATCTTGGTTGCAGAACATATATGAATATTTAAGTAATTATTAAAGATGCTCTTAGGCCGGGCGCAGTGGGTCACGCCTGTAATCTCAGCACTCTGGAGGCCGAGGGGCCGGGGGGCGGGATGCGGATCACCTGAGGTCAGGAGTTTAAGACGAGCCTGACCAACATGGTGAAACCCCATCTCTACTAAAAATACAAAATTAGCCAGGCATAGTGGCGCATGCCTGCAATCCCAGCTACTCAGGAGGCTGAGGCAGGAGAATCGCTTGAACCCAGCAAGCAGAGGTTGCAGTGAGCCAAGATTGTGCCACTGCACTCCAGCCTGGGCAACAAGAGCAAAACTCCATCTCAAAAAAAAAAAAAAAAAAGATGCTTTTAAAACAATTTTAATTGCCCATATAGCATGGTAAACACTGCAAGGAATAAAATTCCAAATGTTATTAGAAACCTTCAAAACAGGAAGACAGCAGGAGTCCTTGAGCTATAAAGAATATAAAGCTACAAACTTCAAGAAGTACATTAATCGAGACAAGTGAACAACAGCACAGGAGCGTCACTCCCTAAAGACCTACTCTCTCCCACTGCCCCAACATTCCTCTGAAAAGATAATCTCTTAATTACAAGGAATGTGTAAGGCATGTGTCAGTAAAATGTATTGGATATCTACTGTACAGTCCCAGAGATTATGACAAGTTAGGTCAAGGAAAGTAAAAGATGAGTTTGGAACTTCTTACTGTGCCAGAAAGTAAGGAAGTGTTCAAGAAGGTGGTGGATACTAAACCTAAGGGGAAAATTTCATGAGAAAGGGGATATTTGCATAGTTTCAAAGTGTGTCCCCTCAAATTACTTAATTGTAACAGGAAAAACAGTTAACTACAAAATTAAAAAAAAAAAAAAAAGACAACACTTAAACTAAGTGATCAAAGCCTGGGCACACAGGGAGACTCCATCGCTATAAAAAATTTAAAAGTGAGCAGAGCATGGTGGCACATGCTTATAATCCCAGCTATTCAGGAGGCTGACAATGATAGTTAGGATTGCTTGAGCCCAGGAGTTTGTGGCTGCAGTGAGCTATGACTACATTCTAGTAGTCATACGAGAAAAACATACCTTTTTTTTTTTTTTTTTTTTTTTTTGAGACAGAGGACTCCTCGCTCTGTTTCCAGGCTCATCTGGAACTCTTGGGCTCACTCAAGCGATCCTCCTATTTCAGCCTCCCAAGTAGCTAGAACTATAGGCATGCATCACCAATCCCAGCTATCAAATGCTGCACAATGTTATTTTATTTTATTTTTATTTATTTATTTTTGAGACAGGTTCTCACTCTGTCACCTAGGCTGGAGCACAGTGACATGACCAGGGCTCACTGCAGCCTCAACCTCCTGGGATCAAGTGATCCTTCCACCTCAGCCCTCCTAGTAGCTGGGACTACAAGCATGTACCACTAAGCCTAGTTAATTTTTTTTCTTTTTTTTTTTCTTTTTTGAGACGGAGTCTCACTCTGTTGCCCAGACTGGAGTGCAGTGGCATGATCTCGGCTCACTGCAACCTCTGTCTCCCGGGTTCAAGCGATTCTTCTGCTTCAGCCTCCCAAGTAGCTGGGACTACAGGCGCACGCCACCACGCCCAGCTAATTATTGTATTTTTAGTAGAGACGGGGTTTCACCATATTGGTCAGACTAGTCTCAAACTCCTGACCTCGTGATCCGCCCGCCTTGGCCTCCCAAAGTGCTGTGATTACAGGTTAAGTCACTGCACCCGGACAAATTTTTTATTTTTAGTAGAGACAGGTTTTCATCATATTGCCCAGATTGGTCTCAAACTCCAGGACTCAAGCAATCCACCCACCTTGGCCTCCCAAAGTACTAGGATTACAAGTATTAGCCACCGTGCCTGACCCAAATGCTATGCAATTTTAATTGGTGAATCCAAGGAACAGATATACAGGGGAGTATTACACTATTCTCACAATTCAGTAAGTTTGAAATGTTTTCAAAATAAAAAACCAATAACCCTATATTGTTCCCACTATCAGAAATATCAGTAATGTTACTCTGTGTATGATGGGAATCTATGTATATAGATACACACACACACACACACACACACACACACAACTTTGAGATATCTCTATAGAGGGAAGATGGGTGGAATATAAAAGCAAAGAAAACCGCTCATAGAATAAAAAAATTAAGGCCAGGCGTGGTGGCTAACACCTGTAATCCCAGCACTTTGGGAGGCTGAGCCGGGCAGATCACAAAGTCAGGAGATCGAGACCATCCTGGCTAACACAGTGAAACCCCGTCTCTACTAAAAAATACAAAAAATTAGCCAGGCATGGTGGTGGGCGCCTGTAGTCCCAGCTACTACGGAGGCTGAGGCAGGAGAATGGCGTGAACCCGGGAGGCAGAGCTTGCAGTGAGCCAAGATCGTGCCACTGCACCTCCAGCCTGGGTGGCAGAGCAAGACTCTGTCTCAAAAAAAAAAAAAAAAAAAAACTTAAATGAAGACAGAGAAGCATAAAAAAAAAGGATAAAACAAGATGACAGAGCCAAATATATTAATATACACTATGCTTCTGTATTAACATTCTCAAAATAGGTCAAAAATCAAAATCCAGCCATTAATGTTACCATCACCATGAAAGTATACCAGAAATTTACCAAATTTGAGGAACATTTGTCCATCTTCAAAAACGATGTAGCATGTGCCCTATGACAACTTCAGTACTCATTTTGTTTCCACTGCCCTTTTTATTGGCACCTTTGAAGGCACTATACGGGAAGTTCAACCCAAAACATTATTTCTTCCCTCCGACAAATGATATGCCATTTAAATCAGAGAATATTCAAGAAAAGGGCAGTTTAACACCAGTGAACAAAACTGCTCAAAGGAGAATTTAAATTTTTTCTTGACTCAGGAAAAAAGTATACTCACTTCTTTTGGAGTATGATTATCAGCAATTCTCTGACCCTCAAAGAGAAACCTGAGTGAATTCATTGGAACGCCCTAAAAAGGTAAAGATAATAATAATATATACATACACACACAAATCTTAGAAAACATAATGGTAACTTTGATGCACAAAAAGCAAGCATGAAAGCCTTAGAACACTACATAGAAAATAAAATTAGCTAATTCAATCATAAATACCATATACTGAGTAGCAACTATTTGCAAGGCCGTCCCTGTACCAATTCTTTACATACAAAATCATAAGTGTTAAACACAATAACCCTGGAAGGTAGGTATTATCACCTTATTTTCATGTTACAGCTAGGGAACCTAAGGCTTGGAGCTAGCGAAGAATTTAAGCCCAAACCTGTTTCTAAGCCTGTGCTCTTGACCACTACTCAATTCATTTTGCCCTAAATCTGCAAGCTAGCATAAAAGATCAGATCAGAAACTGGATGAGCACCCTCACTAGCTTCAAACTATACTGGCAAAAATTGGTTTTAAACAGATTAAATCATAAAATTTGGTAAAGCACAAATGGCTAGCTAGCTAATCTACCATAAACCTGAATGGCACAGATAGCACCACAAATATTACAAAATATATTAGTATACATTTTTCTAATCGCTCTTCAACAAAAATAGCTGAAAGGGGAGAGATGGCTCACTTGAGGTCAGGAGTTTGAGACCAGCCTGGCCAACATAATGAAACTGTCTCTACTAAAAATACAAAAATTATGGGGCAGGCGCGGTAGTTCAGCCTGTAATCCCAGCACTTTGGGAGGCCGAGGCGGGTGAGTCTCTTGAGGTCAGGAGTTCGAGACCAGCCTGGCCAACATGGTGAAACCCCATCTCTACCAAAAATATAAAAATTAGCCCAGCAAGGTGGCACGCACCTGTAATCCCAGCTACTCAGGAGACAGACAGAAGAATCACTTGAACCTGGGAGGTGGAGGTTGCAGTGAGCCAAGGTCGTGTCACTGCACTCCAACCTGGGTGACAGAGCAAGACCTGTCTAAAAAAAAAAATACAAATACAAAAAAAATAAAAATATGAAAATTGGCCAGGCCTGGTGGCAGGTGCCTGTAATTCCAGCTACTCAGGAGACTGAGGCATGAGAATCACCTGAGTCCAGGAGGTGGAGGTTGCAGTGAGCTAAGACGGCACCACTGCATTGTAGCCTAGGCAACACACTGAGGCTCTGTCTCAAAAAACAAAAAAAAAAAAAATAATTCCCTGGCCTATAGATGGGGGGTGTAAAGACTGTATACATTTTCTTCAGAGTTATGAAAATTAAATGACAATGAATCTTTTTCTTTTTTTTTGAGACGGAGTCTCACTCTGCCACCCAGGCTGGAGTGCAATGGCAAGATCTCGGCTCACTGCAACCTCCGCCTCCTGGGTTCAAATGATTCTTCTGCCTCAGCCTCCCGAATAGCTGGGATTACAGGTGTGCGCCACCATGCCCAGCTAATTTTTGTATTTTTAGTACAGACGGGGTTTCACCATGTTGGTCAGGCTGGTCTCGAACTCCTGACCTTGTGATCTGCCTGCCTCAGCCTCCCAAAGTGCTGGGATTAGAGGCGTGAGCCACTGCGCCCGGCCGACAATGTATCTTAAATACTTATGGCACAGTACACATAATTGAGATTTCAATAAATGTTTTTTTCCCCTGATGAATTTCATCTCAATTTTAACACCCAAATTATTACAAATGTGAAGTAGCTGAACCCCAATTAATGAGATTTTATTAAGTTAGACAATTAAAATCTACAAAAACAGAAAAGACAAAAATGCTTATTGTTTTACTTATCCTAACACCTAGTCTCTCTTATGTTATTTTTATGTTAGTTACAAATTTAAACTGTTAAAAGCAAATCTTCTAAACATGAAATCAATAGGCCGGGCACGGTGGCTCACGCCTGTAATCCCAGTACTTTGGGAGGCCAAGGCGGGCGGATCACGAGGTCAGGAGTTCGAGACCAGCCTGACCAACATGGTGAAACCCCACTACTAGTAAAAATACAAAAATTAGCCGGGAGTGGTGATGCATGCCTGTAATCCCAGCTACTCGGGAGACTGAGGCAGGAGAATCGCTTGAACCAGGGAGCTGCAGGTTACAGTGAGCTGAGATCGCACCACTGCATTCCAGCCTGGGCAACAGAGCAAGACTCCATCTCAAATAAATAAATAAATAAAAATAAAACTTACAATACCTGAGTTAATATTATGTAATATAATTCAATTTTTTTTTCTTTTTTTTTTTTTGAGATGGAGTCTTGCTCTGTCACCCAGGTTGGAGTGCAGTGGCATGAGCTCAGCTCACTGAAACCTCTGCCTCGCAGATTCAAGTGATTCTCCTGCCTCAGCTTCCCAAGTAGCTGGGATTACAGGCAGGTGCCTCCACACCTGGCTAATTTTTGTATTTTTAGTAGAAACAAGGTTTTGCCATGTTGGCCAGGCTGGTCTTGAACTCGTGCCCTCAGGTGATCTGCCCACCTCAGGCTCCCAAAGTGCTGGGATTACAGGCGTGACCACTGTACCCAGCCTATAATTCAATTTAACAGACTGATTAAACATATATTTCTTGCCTATTAAATCATAATTTCACTTAAAATATATCTTGATTGTCTCATACTAATTCCAATTACATTTATTTTCAAAACCTATTTTATAAGGCCAGGCATGGTGGCTCACACCTGTAATCCCAGTACTTTGGGAGGCCGAGGTGGGCAGATACCTGAGGTCTGGAGTTAGAGACCAGCCTGACCAACATGGAGAAACCCCATCTCTACTAAAAATACAATATTAGCTGGGTGTGGTAGTGCATGCCTGTAAACTCAGCTACTTGGAAGGCTGAGGCAGAAGAATCACTTGAACTCAGGAGGCGGAGGTTGCAGTGAGCCTAGATCGCGCTACTGCACTCTAGCCTGGGCAACAAGAGCAAAACTCCGTCTCAAAAAAAAAAAGAGATAATATACTAATAATACTACTACTTAAATTTAACATTGGCTAAACACTCATGATTAGAATTACAAAAAAAATTCATAGTAATCACCAAAAAATTACTTCCCTTTCTTCCTGTATATACTGGTAAGCCATCAAGACAGAAACATTCATTTGAACTCTCTTTACAATTCTGAGTTACTTTTCAAACTAGTTCCACATCTTACGAATTTAAACTTTAAAATGGGCCACAGGACAAAAAAAAGCAATTAAACAGGGTACAAGAAATGATAAGAGTGTTTTCCTTGAGTTGCTAATGGTGAAATAAAACAGGATTTTTCTTTTGACAACCTTCTATAAAAAAAAAAAAGAAAGAAAAATTAACAACAAAGCATTGTACTTAATACCAAAATGGACAAACCTGTCTTTGACAGTATGATTCTTTGAGTTTCTTGAGATGTGTTGTCATTTTCACTTTGAAGTGAATCTCACTGCTATCCTAAGGAGATAAAAGAGAAAAAAATTATCCCTCTTTGTATAAACCATTTGCTTTACTTGAACCAAACTATTTAATTACAAATATAGTGCAAATAGAAACATAAACTTTGTAACCTGTATTTTTCTTCCACAATATTCTTTTTAGCATTCTTAACAGGTTTTCTTAAAACACTGTAATCATCCTCAAAGCTACTGTATACCCATTACAAAAGAAACTGAGTAAAACAAAGTTAATCAGTCTTGAGCGTTAAAATTATCAGTATAAGTAAAAGCCTAAGTAAATGCATTCCTTTATTACTGCATGGCCATTCTATTCTCAAAATAAAAGATGAGCCATCACATCTTTTATTTATCCCAATAGCAACTCAAAACAAAAAGTCTGTCCCCCCAAGTGAAGTGTCACTGAAGGTGGTCACGTAGGAGAAAAGCATATACTATAAAATAAGAGACTGAGAAATTTATTCCTGCCATAAAAAAATCACCACATGGGGCTGAGCGCGGTGGCTCACACCTGTAATCCCAGCACTCTGGGAGGCCGAGGCAGGCGGATCACAAGGTCAGGAGTTCAAGACTAGCCTGGCCAATATTGTGAAAACCCGTTTCTCCTAAAAATACAAAAATTAGCCAGGTACGGTGGTGCACACCTGTAGTCCCAGCTACTCAGGAGACTGAGGCAGAAGAATCGCTTGAACCCAGGAGGTGGAGATTGCAGTGAGCCAAGAACGCGCCACTGCACTCCAGCCTGGGCGACAGAGCAGGACTCCATCTCAAAAAAAAAAAATCACATGGAATCTGGTTTCTCTCACATTAGTAAAATGAGTAACAACCTGAGTTAGTCAAACTGATTTGTGGGATGAAAAATTCTTTTATTCTACTCAGATTGTGAAACAAACTATCAGCCAATCATCAGAAAAAAATACTGGTACTTGCATAATTAAAATTTCAAAGCCAAACTTCATGACTACATTCACAAATGTGTATTTGCAGAAGCTGCACATTTACAATATTTTTGCTTGTGACTGTAACTATGAAGAAATAAAATTATCTCCATATAGATCATTTCATAAACAGATAAAATTCTACAGCAAGCCTCATGCTATACATTAAAATCACTTCCAGGCTGGGCGTGGTGGCTCATGCCTGTAATTCTAACACTTTTGGAGGCCAAGGCTGGCAGATCATTTGAGTTCAGGAGTTCGAGACCAGCCTGACCAACATGGTAAAACGCCATTTCTACTAAAAATACAAAAGAAATTAGCCAGGCGTCATGGCGCATGCCTGTAATCCCAACTGCTCGGGAGGGTGAGGCAGGAGAATCGCTTGAACCCAGGAGGCGGAGGTTGCAGTGAACTGAGATCTCGCCACCGTACTCCAGCCTAGAGAGTGAAACTCCGTCTCAAAAAAAAGAAAAATCACTTCCAGATGAATTAAAGAGCTAACATTAAAATTTTTTTGGCCAGGCGCAGTGGCTCACACCTGTAATCCCAACACTTTGGGAGGTCGAGCCGGACAGATCACAAGGTCAGGAGTTCAAGACCAGCCTGGCCAACATGATGAAGCCCTATCTCTACTAAAAATATAAAAAATTAGCCGGGTGTAGTGGCAGTTGCTTGTAATCCCAACTACTCGGGAGGCTGAGGCAGGAGAATTGCTTGAACCCGGGAGGCGGACATTGCAGTGAGTTGGAAGTACCACTGCACTCCAGCCTGGGCGACAGAACAAGGCTCTGCATCAAAAAAATAAAATAAAATTCTCAATATATTCCCCTCAAGGGAGAATTTTTTTCCCCTAATCTTGGTCTTGGGATGCCCTATTACAAAGCATGATTTTAACCTAAAAACCGTTAAAAAAACAGGTGGATAAATTTGACTTAATAAAAACATAAAACGTCTGTATAGTAAAAGATGCCATAAACAAAAGTTAAGACATACTGGAGGAAATGTTCATAACATGTAACAGACAAGGAAAATGAAGACAATGTTTTTTAAAATCCCACAAATTAATAATTCTTAAAAAGATATTCCACGGCATATGGACATATAGATCAATGTCATAAAATTGAGAGCCAAGAAATAAACCCTTATATCTATAGTCAATTTTTTGACAAGGATACCAGAACAATTCAGTGAGAAAAGGACAGTCTTTTCAACTAATGGTCTGGGACAAACACCCATACAAAAATTACTCAAAATGATTAAAGATTTAAATGTAAGAGCTAAAACTATAAATAAAACCATAAAACTTTTTTTTTTTTTTTGAGACAGGGTCTCACTCTGTCACCCTGACTGGAGTGCAGTCATGTGATCACAGCTCACTGCAGCCTTGACCTCCCAGGCACAAGTGATTCTTCCCGCTCAGCCTCCTGAGTAGCTGGGACTACAGGCATGTGCCACCATACCCGACTAATTTTTTATTTTTTTTGTAGAGATGGGGTTTCGCCATGTTGCCCAGGCTGGTCTCCAGCTCCTGAGCTCAAGCAATCTGCCCACCTCAGCCTCCCAAAGTGCTGAGATTATAGGAGTGAGCCATTGCACCCAGCCTTAAAACTCTCAAAACACAAGCGTAAACCTTTGTGACCCTGGATTAGGCAATGGTTTCTTAGATAAATTACAAGCAACAAAAGAAAATACAGATGAACTTAGTTCACCAAAATGAAAAACTTTATACTGCAAAGAATAAAATCAAGAAAGTGAAAAGACAACTCAAAGATAGGAGAAAATCTATGCAAATCATATATATGATAAAGGTATAATACCCAGAATAAAAGACATATTACAACTCAACAATAAAAAGACAACTAACCTAATTTAAAAATGGGCAAAAGATCTAAAGATCTTCATTTTTCCAAAGAAGATGTACTAACGGCCAATAAGTACATAGAAAAATGCTTGGCATTATTAGCCATCAGGAAAGTGCAAGTTGAAACCACAGTGAGATACTACTTCACACCCACTAGGATTATAATCAAACAGATGGATAATTACAAGTGTTGACCAGAATATGGAAAAACTGAAACCCTCATATGTTGCTGCTAGGAACCTAAGATGGTAGGGCCACTGCTAAAACAATTCAGCAGTTCCTCAAAAAGTAAAACATACAGTTGCATACTAGACCCAGAAATTCCACTCCTAGGTATATATCCAAGGGAGCTAAAAACATACGTCCACGCAAAAACACACATAAATGTTCACAGCAACATATTAATAGTAGCCAAAATATGGAGACAAACTAAATATCCATCAACTGATAAATGGAAAATGAAATATATTCTCCCCATACAATGGAACAGAATTCAGCCATTAAAAGGAATACAGTACTGATACATGCTACACCATGAATGAACCTTGAAAACATGCTAAAAGAAAGAAGCCAGGCCAGGCATAGTGTCTCACACCTATAATCCCAGCACTTTAGGCCAAAGTGGGAGATGACTTAAGCCCAGGAGTTCAAGACCAGCCTGAGCAACACAGCAACACCCCTGGAGAGGGAGAGGAGGTTGGGGGGGACAGGGTAGGGGTGGGGGGAAAGGGGAGGGAGGGGGAGAGAAGCAGGGAAGCAAGGGAAGCAAGAAAGAAAAGAAGATGAAACAAACCAGAATAAAAAGCCACATATCAAAGCTAGGCATAGTGGCTCATGCCTGTAATCCCAACACTTTGGGAGGCCGAGGTAGGCAGATCATCTGAGATCAGGAGTTTGAGACCAGCCTGGCCAACATGGTGAAACCCCGTCTCTACTAAAAATACAGAAATGAGCTGGGCATGGTGGTGTACACCTGAAATCCCAGTATTAGGAGGCTGTGGCAGGAGGACTGCTTGAACCCAGGAGGTGGAGGTCACAGTGAGTTGAGATCAGGCCACTGCACTCCAGACTGGGTAACAGAGCAAGACTCTTGCCTCAAAAAAAAAAAAAGAAAGAAAAAAAAAAAAGTCATATATCTTATGATTCCATTTATATGTAATGTCCAGAAAAGGCAAACCCATAGAGACAGGAAGTAGAATCGTGGTTGTCACTGGCTGGAGGAAATAGGATGGGGAACGACTGCTAATGGGTACAGGGTGTCTTTTGGGGGTAATGCAAATGTTCTGGAATTGGCAGTGGTGATGGCTGCACACACTTGTGAATATACTAAAGTCACTGAATTATATACTTTAAAATAGTGAATTTTATAGTATGTGAATTATAGCTTTTAAAAGTTTTCAAAATAAGGCCAGGCATGGTGGCTCACGGCTGTAATCCCAGCACTTTGGGAGGCCGAGGCAGGTGCATCACCTGAGGTCAGGAGTTGGAGACTGGCCTGACCATCATGGGGAAACCCCGTTTCTACTAAAAATACAAAAAAAAATTAGTCGGGCTTCGTGGCAGGCGCCTGTAGTCCCAGCTACTCGGGAGACTAAGGCAGGAGAATCGCTTGAACCCAGGAGTGGAGGTTGCAGTGAGCCAAGATCGCGCCACTGCACTCCAGCCTGGCAACAAGAGCACAACACCATTTCAAAAAAAAAAAAATTTTTTAAATGTTGAAAATAAAAAATAAAAGTCTTCAAAATAAGATAATCACAGAAAAATGGGAAAAGGGTATGAACACAATTAAAAGAAGAATATAAATGTAGCAGACCAAAAAATTGTATCTTATTAATAATTAGGTAAATGAAAAATAAACAAGAATGTTTTACCTAGCATACGTGAACAAAATTTAACGACTGGTAGTATCCCATGTTTGGGAGAATATAGGGAAATGGTACTGTCACACTTCAATGGAAGTACCACTGCACTCCAGCCTGGGCGAGTCCACCATTCCACCAATTCTCTGTCTTTTGTCCTTTAGAAAACCCACGTAACTATGCAGACTCATTCCTCCAACAGTTGTTAGCTAACCTTAATTAACATTTCAGAGTCAATAAGATACAGACTAGACTCTAGGGAAATAGGGGGCCAGAAAAGGGGAAAGGGTCGGCAAAAGGGCTGACAAGCCTTTTACTCAAGGTTGGCCCTAGCCTTATCACTTAATAGTATTCACTGTATTTGTCCCTGAAGCACACTAACCAAGAAAACGTTCCTATTTGGAAAAATTAAGGTGATCTAAAACTGCCTGGCAGAGTAATTTAAAAAACAGTATCGGCTTCTTCTACCTCTAACAGATGCACACACAGTAAATTAAAATGCATACATAGTCATTTTTAAATAATTTGCCTTAAATAATTTTTTTTCCTGTGAAAAAGTATTCACATTGAAGGGGAGTCAAAAGAGAAAAACAATGAAACTCACCTGTCCAATGACTTTGAGTTTAATATATTCACCTTCCTTCTTATCCCCCAAGTCCTCAGTTGAAGGTTTTGCCTCCTGAAAGAAAATTAAATTTCAAGATCAAAGTTCCTACATGCTATTTTAATTACTCACTTATAAGTATCCATTACTTTCATTCAGGGTGCAAAATCTGCACCTGAGAATACAAAGAGCATTTCTTTCCATGCCAGTCGATTAAGAAAAAAAGATCCTAAGTCAATTACTGTCCCAAATACCATTCACTAGAAATCAAGAAAGGGGTCTCTTTTATTATAATACCGCATAGTAATGGTCTAAAACTTTACCACGCATCAAAATCACCTGAAGGACATGTTAAACAAACTGCTGGGCCCAAGCCCCAGTTTCTTATTCAGCACATCTATGATAAGACTCTGTTTCTAACAAATTACCAGGTGGTACCGATGCTGCTGGCCAGAGGAACAACTTGCAAACAACTGCCCTGCAGCCAACTCTCACCAGCACAGAGGGAGTCCATCCTCCATGAATTTTTAGACAAACATTCTGAATCCAAGATTATCTTCTCACAGCCTATCATGAGGAGTTTACTTTAACTACAAAACTGTACTAAGAAATGTAAATTAATCATATTAGCATAAGTAAGGCTATTATTTATTTGTTTTTATTTATTTATTATTATTTTTTGAGACGGAGTTTCGCTCTTGTTGCCCAGGCTGGAGTGCAATGGCGTGATCTCAGCTCACCGCAACCTCCGCCTCCGGGGTTCAAGCAATTCTCCTGCCTCAGCCTCCCGAGTAGCTGGGATTACAGGCATGCACCACCACACCTGGCTAATTTTGTATTTTTAGTAGAGCTGGAGTTTCTCTGTGTTGGTCAGGCTGGTCTCAAACTCCCGACCTCAGGTAATCTGCCCGGCTCAGCCTCCCACACCTGCTGGGATTACAGGTGTGAGGCACAGTGCCCAGCCAAGCAAGGCTATTTAGAAAGAAAAATCAGCCGGGCGCGGTGGCTCAAGCCTGTAATCCCAGCACTTTGGGAGGCCGAGACGGGCGGATCACAAGGTCAGGAGATCGAGACCATCCTGGCTAATCCGGTGAAACCCCGTCTCTACTAAAAAATACAAAAAACTAGCCAGGCGAGGTGGCGGGCGCCTGTAGTCCCAGCTACTCCGGAGGCTGAGGCAGGAGAATGGCGGGAACCCGGGAGGCGGAGCTTGCAGTGAACTGAGATCCGGCCACTGCACTCCAGCCTGGGCGACAGAGTGAGACTCCGTCTCAAAAAAAAAAAAAAAAAAGAAAGGAAAATCAAATAAGAAAGTATTAGCCTAATGTACTCTGGAGTCAAAACAAATCAGTTTTATGTAATCAATTATTTTAGACTATCCGAAGCATAATGCTTAAGTTTAAAAGAGGAGATAAAAATAGGAAGACAAGATACTTGAGAGGCTGTGGCAGTAGGACTGCTTGAGAGCCCAGGAGTTGGAGGCCAACCTGGACAACATAGCAAGACCTCATCTCTTTTAAAAAAAGGATCACAAAAACACAGTTGCAAAACAATTTCAAATAAAGAGGTACTGAAATGAAAATGAGGTTAACAGAATAAATTTCTGAATTTATTCAGAAACAGCTTCACCATGAAGTATCTCAAGAATAAGCAAATCATTTTTAGTAAAGGGGGTACCTTGGAAAATTTCATGAATAATGTACTAAAGAAGTCGTTTTTTGTCTCTATGTGCTACGCCTTAGTTTGGCCACCAAATTACCCACTTATTTAGATATATACCTTATTATTCATAATAATGTCAAGCAGTTAATCCATATTTGATAAGAATAACCATAACCATTACCTGTGTATCTCATGCCAGTAACTTAAAATACAAAATTCTTTAACATTCAACAATTAAAAGAACATATTAAACTAGAAGCAGCTTTCAACTTTAAAACACAGGCTGGAGTCTAGGGAAATGCTTAGATAACAGAACTGATTTCATTAGTATGAATCCCTGCCTGTTTTTCATTCTGCAGTGCTTTCAACATTTGCTGACTACTGACTATTATGGCAGCAGGCAAAATTAACCTTCTTCAGTGAGACAGTATTCCACCTGAAAACTAGAAGACTGTCCTCAAATATAGTCTCTCCACATTTCTATGAATTATATTCATAGTACACAGCTGCTTCTTCCTCTAAGTATCTAGAAGGCAAAGACAGCTTATTCCATGCAGTGAAGGGCAATAAGCAGCAACCAAGCCCTGAGTCCTCCGTAACTGGAAGGAGAGGAGGCCTTAAGAAGCTTTGTTTAAGTGAGCACAAAGGACAGCCCCCTCCCCTGGCAGCAATATATCAGCACAACAGGAGTGGCTCTGCTCCTGTGTCTCCTAGACAGAGTAGCTATAGCGGCCACTCAGCACAAAAGAATTCTTCCCCTCCTCCCCTCCATCATCCTCAGTGCTTCAGCATTCTCCTAAAGCCCAGCTTCTCCAATCCTACAACTACTCAGATAAAAAAGCATAAATACCTTCCAGTACTTTAGGGCCTATAACCTAACTCTATAGCATGACATTCTGTGCTTCCACAATCAAGCTCAATTCCCATTTTTCTCTCATCACTCACTTTACAAACCCAAAGATTCTGTTCAATTGGACTATTTGCTGTTCCCTGAATATGTCCATTAGCATTACTTCAACTTCAGCCCTTTGCGTTCCTAGTTTCATTTACCTGGAATATACATATATATCCTCTCTCAGCCTCTCTTGAAATCACCTCAAGGATATCTACCTCACACATGAACTTAAATCCGGTATTTTTTTTCTTTCTTTTTTTTTTTTTTTTTGTAGACAGATTTTCGCTCTTGCTGCCCAGGCTGGAATGCAATGGCGCAATCTTGGCTCACTGCAACCTCTGCCTCCTGGGTTCAAGCAGTTCTCCTGCCTCAGCCTCCCAAGTAGCTGGGATTACAGGAGTATGCCACCATGTCCGGCTAATTTTTGTACTTTCAGTAGAGACAGAATTTCCCCATGTTGGCCAGGCTGGTCTCGATCACCTGACCTCAGGTGATCCATCCACCTCGGCCTCCCAAAGTGCTGGGATTACAGGCTTGAGCCACTATGCCTGGCCTGCTTTTTTTTTTCTTTTCTGAGACAGAGTCTCACTCTATCACCCAGGCTGGAGTGCAAGGCTGTGATCTCGGCTCACTGCAACCTCTGACTCCCAGGTTCAAGTGACTTTCTCATCCCTCAACCACCTGAATAGCTGGGATTACAGGTATGCACCACCACGCCCAGCAATTTTGTGTGTGTGTATTTTTAGTAGAGACAGGGTTTCATCACATTGGCCCAGGTTGCTCTTGAACTTCTGGCCTCAAGTGATCTGACCGCCTTGGCCTACCAAAGTGCTGGGATTACAGGCATGAGCCACCATGCCAGGCCAAGTCTAGTATTTTTTAAAACTGGTCTATGAACCACAGCACTCCCCCAACCTTCCAAATGATATTAATATCTTCATTTAATGCTCCTATTTGCAATTTATTCATATATTCTATGGCATTTATTCTCAACTTAAAAATACTCTCCCTTGACCTTACTTCTCTAGTTGTTTTTCTCACCTTTTGTTGTTATTGTTGTTGTTTTGAGATGGAGTCTTGCTCTGTTGCCCAGGCTGGAGTGCAGTGGCACAATCTCGGCTCACTGCAACCTCCACCTCCCAGATTCAAGCAATTCTCCTGCCTCAGCCTCCTAAGTAGCTGGAATTACAGGTGTGTGCCACCACACCCGGCTAATTTTTTGTATTTTTAGTAGAGATGGGGTTTCACTCTATTAGCTAGAATGGTCTCGATCTCCTGACTTCGTGATCCACCCGCCTGGCCTCCCAAAGTGCTGGGATTACAGGCGTGAGCCACCACACCCAGCCAGTTCTCACCTTTTTTCAAAATCAAACTTCTTAAAGAGTATTCAGCTTTTGCTATCCCCACTTTCACTGTCAACCTACTGTAATGTGGTTTACGCCCTCACCATTCCACTTTACACTCTCCTCATCAACAGTTAGCAGGTGGACTCTTTATTGCTAAATCCAATGGACACTTTCAAATTTCATCTGTAACTCAAACAACAAACACTGATGAGTTTTACCTTGAAAACTCTCCACCTTTGGCTGCCAAGATTAGGTTCTCTCTTCATTTCTGTAATTTCCTTCAATGCTGGGTTTCATCTGAATTCTGTGTCTTCAATCCTCTACTTTTCTCTGTCTCCCTGGTGACCCGTGATTCCAACTAGTTCTCAGATAGTAATAACTCAATCATTCCCTCTAACCTTTATGAGTTTCACACTCATTTATCCAAGTGCCTGAATATACTCCTTGGGTACTTCAGTATGAAAGTGTCCCAAACCAAATCATTATCTCTAACTCCTGGGTCAGTTTTAACTCCACTTTCTAAAAACCAAAATCAACACAAATTATAACTCTTCCTGGATTCCCAATTACAATAAATGGTTACCATACAACCAGCTGCCAACAACAGAAATTCCGGGGTCATCTTTGGCTCCTCTTCTGCTTTTAAACATTAAACTTCATATTTAACATCACTCTTCATTCTGACAATTCTGGGTTTTTTTGTTTTTGTTTTTGTTTTAGAGACAGGGTCTCACTACGTTGCCCAGGCTGGTCTTAAAACTCCTGGGTTCAAGCAATCCTCCCATCTCAGCCTCAGCCTCCCAAAGTGCTGGAATTACAGGCATAACCCATAGCACCCGGCCTGACAATTCTATTTCTTACTAGCTCTCAAGCCCATCCCTTTCTCTCCCTTCCACTGCTTTAGTTCAGGCACTCAGTGATGCTTATTAACATCACTGCAACAACATAACAGGCCTGGTGCAGTGGCTCACGCCCATAATCCCAGCACTTTGGGAGGCCAAGGTGGATCACTTGAGGCCAGGAGTTTGAGACCAGCCTGGGCAACATGGTGAAACCCTGTCTCTACAGTATATACAAAAATTAGCCAGACGTGGTGGTACACGCCTGTAGTCCCAGCTCTTGGGAGGCTGAGGTGGGAGGATCATTGGACCCAGGAGGTCAAGGCTGCAGTG